CTGGTAAATCATTTACTACTGGAGCATTGTTGTTTACTAAGTTAATCGCTGCCTCTTCTTCATCAGTTATTTCTGGTACATCTTCTTGCATTACACAAGCAATATTGTGTAGTACCGCTGTAGCCACTATTAAAGCTTGTATTGTTTCAGTTTTTAATCGAAGTCCTAAAGCCAATCCCGGAAACCTTCTTTTCCAAACTCCATAAGATCTTTCGACGACATTGCGTGTGCGAATTTGTGCCTCATTGTACAAATTTTCTGCTACGTTTCCTGGTTGCCTCAGTGGTGTTAAAAGGTAGGGCTTTATTGGGTACCCACTGTCACCAACGATGATGCAGTTTCTAAATTGGCCCCTTTCGAATGACTGCAGAATTGTAGAATTTCGGAATATTTGAGCATCATGAGTTGCTCCTGGCCAGCGGGCAACAATATTCCGTATCTTAAGATTTGCATCAGCAATAGTTTGGACATTAATTGAAAAATACTGTTTTCTGTTTCTATACATTTCAGCAAATTCTCCACCAGGGGATTGTATTTTTACATGGCTACAATCAATGGCCCCTATACACATTGGAAGCCTTGCAATATTAAAAAAATTCGTTTGACATTCAGCTATTCGGCTAATCGGCATTCTTATATAATGTGGTCTCAGCCTAGCTATTGCGTGGCTTACTCGTTTGATTGTTTTACTAGCAGTGGATATATGTACCCCACAAAAATCTGCTGCTACATTTAAAAAAGATCCAGTGGCATAAAATCGGAGGGTCAATAATAACTGATTTTCCGCTGAAAGTGCGTCATTTCTGTAAAACAAATATTTATTTTCCTTACAAAAACAGTAATTTGTAAATTAAGTTATTACCTATCACTTGTATATGAAATAACATTCTCAATTTGTTCTAATAGTTCCTCAACTGTTTGGGGAGATAAACGAAACCGCTGAAAAAACTCTTTACCGTCCCATTTTTCAAAATGGTTAATTCGCTCCCGCACTACTCGTTGCTTACGAATTGGGATCTCTTCATCATCACTGTATGCGTTTATATCGTATAAATCCATGATACATAATATATTATGTATTATATATTATATTATATAATATAAGAGGTATAACAGTTTAATGTTGTCAAATTGACATAGTTAATTCACAATGTCTAGGTTAACTTGTACCTGAGCTTCGAGTTAATTGTAAAGCGAGTTAACTCACAAATTAGAGTAATCCAGACATTGAAATATAGATTTTAAAATTTAACTTTAAGTTTAGATGTAACTCGCATATAACTCGCAGTGGAAATAACGGGCCTTAATATTCATAATAAACCTTGCCCCAAAGACGATACATTTCCCATTCAAATTACATGGGATTTTGACACTTTTTTCAATTAATTCTTTTTTTCCCAGGCAAGATGACTTACAGCAATGAGACATATATATTCTTATAGTAAATTGAACGCTCTACAAAAAAGGTCTCTTATAATTTTTCGATTAAATCACTCGTTAAAAAGTTATTCGGGGTGAAAGTTAAACTCTGTGTACATTTTCTGATTTTTTTTACTTTTACGGCAAAGTTATTATTATTTTGATGAAAGTTATTAGTATATTTCTGAAAATAGATAATTCTGGTAGTATTAGGGTATACAATTTTTAAACCTGGAAAATAATAGACTGCATAACAGGTAGCTGGTTCTAGTTTTAATCATTTTTGAGACTTTATGTGTAACACACAGTCAACTAATTTTTATTGAATTTCAAGTTTTGTATTCTTTTATGAAATTTTCCTTCAATACAGTAAGTGACTCAAAATTACTCTTACAAGCATTCCCGCCAACACACGGAATTTTTATTGACGCAAGCGCGCTAAAGCGCATTTAGTACCTTGACATCGCTAAAAGGACTTAAGCGATGCATCGCTTAAGTCCTTTTAGCAGTGCTGAATTAACCAATAGACCAACCTAGGCCATGGCCTAGGGCGCCGCGAAGCCAATAGGCGACCAGAAGGCTAAATTTTTTAAAAGTAGGTTGAATAATAAAATTAATCAATTAAAATAAATAATTATAATTATCAAACGTGTAATACCCTTTTTTAGCAAAAGAAGTCAATAAATAAATTTTGAAAATTGTAAATCGTCGTTGATAATGCAAAAGATCGTGTGACTTGAACGCCTTTCTGCAAAACCATTAAATCAATGGGATCTTGTAATCCGTATTCCTGAATAACAGTTTCTATAATACCAATAGATAGTTAGCACTTGGTTTATAATCGTTTATTGTTTTTAAATTAACAACAAAAGTTATCGCTCCTAAATCATTTGATATTTATATTGATATTTATTTTGCATTAAATAATAATTTGATTTATTTAATAACGTTACTATAGTATGTATACTATGTAATACATAGTATGTATACATTTAATGCAATAAATTCTTTGACATTTAGGCAAAATGTTTCCCTATTTTTGTTTAATAGTAATTTATTGAGTTTAATAGTAATTTATAGTAATATCTCTGCATATTGTTGTGAATGTTGTGTCGTACATTAACAGTAGTTATTTATATAATAAAACTTATTTATTATACACAAAAAACAAAATTTAGAATTAGTGCAATTTTTAACATATAGGTAAATAAAAACTTTAAAATTAAATTTATATTGAAAATCTCATTATTATATAAATAACTACTGTGTACGACACAACATTCACAACAATATGCAGAGATATTTGTATACAATATAACAAATATACAATACTAAAAGGACTTAAAGCGCCGTCAAGGTACTAAATGCGCTTTAGCGCGCTTGCGTCAATAAGAATTCCGTGTGTTGGCGGGAATGCTTGTAAGGGTAATTTTGAGTCACTTACTGTATTGAAGGAAAACTTTATAAAAGTATAAAAAAATTTAAAATTCAATAAAAATTAGTTGACTGTGTGTTATAAATAATGTCTCAAAATGATTAAAACTAGAACCAGCTACCTGTTATGCAGTCTATTATTTTTCAGGTTTAAAAATTGTATACCCTAACCAGAATTATCTATTTTCAGAAATATACTAATAACTTTCATCGAAATAATAATATCTTTGCCGTAAAAGTAAAAAAAATCAGAAAATGTATACATGTATACGCAGAGTTTAACTTTCACCTCGAATAACTTTTTAACGAGTGATTTAATCGAAAAATTATAAGAGACCTTTTTTGTAGAGCGTTCAATTTACTATAAGAATATATATGTCTCATTGCTGTAAGTCATCTTGCCTGGGAAAAAAAGAATTAATTGGAAAAAGTGTCAAAATCCCATGTAATTTGAATGGGAAATGTATCGTCTTTGGGGCAAGGTTTATTATGAATATTAAGAGTTTATTTTGGTCTGAAATTTTTTTTGAGACGATAGACTAAAAATTTAGGGGGCGTCGCAAGAAAAAAAATCAACTTGGTAAATAACGGACACCCTACTGTGCATACGAAGTTGAATATTATTTAGGAATTCGCCAATTTCCTTATCGTCCTCACTAACTACCTCAAACATATCCATTGGTTTATTTTATCAGCAGATCACAAAACAAGAAATAAACAACATAATACACAATAAAAGAAGAGAAAAATTAAGTTATGTCAAGTTGAACTTCGTTTAAACGGCCAACATTGACGGTTCATCTTTTGATTTAGTTTAAACCAAATTCAAGCTTGAACTTTGATTGAAAAACGGCATATTTTGTTTGAACCAAGTTCAAATGCTGAACCAAGTTTAAACTATGATTGAAAAACCGGCCCTAAGAGTCCATGACTAAACAAGTTTAGGAGTGCCGAAGCGGGACTGCATACTATATGCCTTGTAGACTACAGCTTAGCTATAACTAATAAATCACTAAACGGTTTCTGGAGTTTTGTGTTCTTATTGACATTTACTACATATAACATAAAGAAAAATTTTAATTTGAGATGAATTAATGTCAAAATTAAATTAGTTTACAAAAAAATATAAACCAACTACCTACTTAAATAATTTGTTTGCAATATTCTATTGTAAAGTGCAGCTTAAGCGTATCATGCCAAAACATTTTTAAAATTTTTAATAATTACAGTTCTTGTACCTAATTAATTTTTTAAAATTTTTGATAATTACATGTAATTAATTTTCTAAATAAATGTCGATGAAATATATAATTGTAAGAATAATTAACAACAAATTAAATTTTTCAAAACTTTTGTCTGGATTATTGCATTGATACCTTCTTAATATCCGTATTGCTTTTTTATTTTTATGATCACATGAAAAATCGCGAGCCCAGAAATTCTGACTCAATAGTAAATATAAAATAAGGGGTTTAAGAATTGATTGACAATCAGAATCATGAATTCAAAGTTATAATATTTGTACTTTTGATGTTTGAGTTTTATTTGAGTTCTAAAGATATGACAATATTACCTTAAGGAAAGTTGTATTTTCTTTTGTTTGTGCTACTAATTAAAAGTTAACTGGAAGATTTATATTTGGCCCAAAAAAACTATTTCATCGTATTGTCAATACTGAATTTTTAGTCAATTTTACATTTACCTTTTATGCTTTGTACCTATGTGATAAATTTTATGTATGTATATTAGGGTGGGCCGTTTCTATATAGGAGTGTGTGTTTTATTAAATTTAAAAATCCAATAGGAACAAAAAGATGCGTTTTGTAAAAAAAAAACGTTAATTTTTTTTTATTTTTGTGCCTTTATAAGAAGATTCACAAACAGTTTAATTGCAAAAAAAATAGGTTTTACAACTAAAAATAACATTTGACACGTTTTATAACTAAAAATAACAAATAAAGGGTACACGGGAAGTCACTTTTTAAGTTAAACTGGACATTTCAAAAAAAAAAACCAGAGACCCACCGACGAATGAGTGGTTATGTTTTCTATAACACTGTTAAAGAAATGCATTATCTAAGATTATTTTCATTAAAAAAGGTTGGTTTATTTTGTTTTTTGTTTTAAACCTATTTTTCTCTTAACGTTTAAACTTGGACTTTGATCGTTATTCCCGTGCATCCTTCAAATATCTTAGACCATATTTTAAGCCACTTTATATTTAGCTTTGTGAGGAAATAAGGCATAATTTCACTTGATTTAACTCTTATGTGAATAAATCCATCGCGTGACTTCTCGCCTATCACACAACTAGATGCCTCAGTTACTAGTTTCACACTTCTTTCGACTGCTTGAGTGTGAGATGGAAAACGAGAAAACTCCAAAGTTTTATTCTCGATAAATAATTTAAGGTCTTCATCGGTGTTTTTCGCTAAGACAGGAGGTGGTGTAACCTCAATATCCATCCAGTTTATTAGATCGGTATATTCATAAGCATTAAAATTTAATTTAGGAACTGTAAATTCCGGAATTGTCTCTGAAGTATTTTCACCTTTTAAAATGTTCATGAGGCCTCGTATGGCTTTTGCGCTCATTGGATATCATACTCAATAAACGCATTGCGTTGTATAACCGGATCTATTATCTTTTTCAAATTAATATTTAAGTACCATGATAATTGTATGATTTTAAATACATTTCGGGCACATAAGGAATGCACTTTTATAAAAAACCACTTCGGCGCATAAACTTTCATAATAAACTCAACAATAGGTAATTATTAAGTTTTGTGACGGTTTTTCACAACTCATATAAAATCGAAGGATACGATTTGCTTTAGTCAACCACCTTGCATGTGATATTTTTCCAGGTTGGGAATTGGCTATATTTTGCGGGTATTGTCCAAAGGAAACAGCTTGGCATATTTTGTTCAAATACCGCTGGTATGTACTTAGATCATCTGAATTTACTTCAGGCAAAAATCCAATAACGGGAATAAAATCTACCACGGATCGCACTTCACAATTCTCAAGTGATTTTTCAATTGAGCCCATATATTGTGATGGACCAGTTGTTCGGCCATCTAGGTGCTCAAATAAATGTCTGAAAGGTAACTCATTCGCATGTAACTGACAGATAAACCACTGAAGAGGTATTTTTATTTGTAATTCTAAATATCTTCTGACACCATTTTTACAGCCGGTATTTACTCCAGTGCCATCATAATCAATCTGATCGAAGCTTATATTATTTTTAACACAAAACTCATAAATACTCACTGCAATGGATTTTCCAGTGCCAGAAACTAGGGACATATAAACCGATTCCGGTTCCTCTATTATGGTATTATGGAAATATGCTCTTCTAAAATCCTTCTGCGGTGAAATCGCCCATCTTTTTTCTCTTGATATAATGTACTCTTTTCTATCATCAAAATAAATGCTTTTTATAAATACTTTAGAATCAGTGTGTGCTTTACTTAGTAAACTACGGGCTTTTTCACGAGCTCTTCGAACTTTGTTTTTATCTATAACATTTGAAAGATTTTCTTTTGTCACCATAACAACATCTTGTAAAACCGCCGATACAATTGCTGCTGCAGATCTGTCTAAAACTCCAAACTGATCGCAAGTTCTAGCTAATGTGGGAAGTTAAGTTGATTTCTAGACAAAAAACCAGACGTAATAGCAGAAGAAGCACAAGAATGATCTTGTTTAACTACTATTTTAGAACCAGACCCTCCTCTTTTAATTATGACGCTAGATTTATCTTTGTTAATAAGTAAGTTGGAACTGGCGAGTCTTTGTATTTCCTTTTATTTTCTTTTTTTTAATTTTAAATTTCTTTTCGTTTCTTTAACATCAACAGATCCTAAGGCCATTTTTCAATTTAATGTTTGATCTTAAATAAAGGCTCGTTCTTTAAATGGTATTTTACGATATTTTTCACACGAACAGAAAGAAATTGGTTGGCACTTGCAAGAGGAATCATCAAACAATGTTTACACATTTAGCAAAGAAATCTGCTACTTAAAAATTATATTTTTCATTACGCCTGACTTGAGGAAACCTTAACAGTTTTAAATACTCCGTATAATGTTTTCGAATTATTTGCTCGATTCGTTCAAATGGAACGATTGGGATTGAGGTATTTTTTGAAATTTCTTGAATTTTTGAAACCATAATTTTTGAAATGTCTGAGAAACTTTTCTTTTCCGGAATATTTAATTTTAAGATTATACCTGACATATAAATAAAATTTTAGTACACCTTCAATGGTTGGCAAAACTTTCTCGTTCAGTTCTTTCGGATATCCCAGAATGGGACACTTCACTTTTTTTCTAGTAATTATTGTAGGTATTCTTTTGACTCATTTTAAACAGAGCACAAACCCAAAGCACAAAAATTGTAAACAACAAAAATGGCCGCCGTTAAACTGTGCAGTATTGCAGTTATTTTTTGTATTTTTAGTACGAGATAGAACAGACCTTGTTGTGTGGATTGTTGGCCTAACCATAAACTATTTTTTTACATATTAGTAAGTTGCGTTGCAAAGAATTAATTTTTTTATTTCATTAAAAAGTATGAGGAAATACAAAATTTTCGTTAATATGGAAAGCAATGTAAGGGGCGAAAAATGATCTTTGATATGATTCTGCTTTCTTACACACATTAGCCATATAAAAATGCATATTTTGGCAGGTATGGCGTTTTGAAATTTCAGATTTTAATTTTTTGGTCCACCCTAATGTATACAAATAAATTTAAATAATTTTTCTTCATACCTTGTTCGAAAGTACTTACTTTCGTCCGAGTTAAACTTTAGTCCCTGCTATTAGGGACAAAAGTAAGTACTTCGAACCCATGTATGAAGAAACATTATATACACCACACGGGCCAAACGTTGAAATCTCGGTACTGCACGTCATCATAACGCGCTTTGCATACCTACATATATTATTCACCTTTTTATGTAATTTTTTGTTACCTGGGCAATTGGAATTAAAATTCTTACTATGTTAACTAAAGCCATTAAAATTTGAAACTATAATGCATTTTTTGCTTATAAAAAGAAATTCACTTGTAATCACTTGTATCAACATTTTAGTTTTTATTATTTTTTTATGAAATAACTGCCCAATACCAACTTATTTTAATGTATAAAAATCCAATAAATATGAAAACGGCACAAACTTATAATTATTATAATAACTGAAGCTTGGTGAAGTGCCAAACATAAAATTCTGAGTAATCAATGAAAATTGTAGATAAAATACAAAAATAATATGAAGAGAAATATTTTTTAAGTTTTGCATGGCACAGACTATTTTTAAATAATAACTATAAATTTGACCAAATTGGGTCCAAACCCTTTGGGAATACCATGCTTTAATTATAATTTTTTCCTACTTTTTCAGCAAAACTAAATATATGGTAAAATTAAGTGGAATCTTTTTTTAAAAAAATATATTGTTAAAAAATGTGCAAAGAAAGCTCTATTTTTATTTAAAAAGAAATGTTAAATAATTATTAACCATTTTTTTTTATAAAAATGCCGCTTTCTTTGCGCATTGTTTTAGCAGAATATTTTCTTAAAGAAAGGGTCCTACTAAATTTTACCATAAATTTAGTTTCGCTGAAAAAGTAGGAAAATCTGAAAAATGTCTATAAATTCAACTTTTACCTTAAAAGAATTAATTTATCATAAAATGATAGGATACCTTTTTTGTAAAGCATTCAATTCCCTACAAAAATTTGTTTTAGTTTTATCGGTCCACTAATCCGTTGAAGAGTTATACAGTTTCAAAGTACTTTACAAAATGAGGGATCTGTAAATTTTATATTAAGAGCTTACAGTTTAGGACGATTTTTTAGATAGTTTCATATGTATGTTAATTTTTTATTATAATTAAATCAAACAGTATTTGAAAAACCCTAGTATATTTAATTTAAAAATATACTAAATATAAAAATTCTAAATATATTTTTTTAAATTTGTAGTTATAGTTTTATACACACCTATGTATGTATGTTATAGTTTTATACATATGTTAAATTTTTTATTATAATTATATAAAACGTTTTTTGATAAATCCTAGTAGGTATATATAATTTAAAAATATACCAAATATAAAAATTCTAAATATATGTTTTTAATTTTAACACATAAACGTGCAACAAGTAATAAAATGTGTGCTTTACTCCTATGAATAATTATGAATAATTCCTAGAATAGTGTATTGAATCATACAAAATCAAAAATGTAAAATAAGTTTTAAAAAACTACGACTTGATAATATTATTTTTAGCCTAAAAAGTTATTTTTAAAAGTTTTTCATAGAATAAATGTACACATTTTATAAAAGTATAAAAATATTTCAAAAAATAAACGATTTAATAAAAATTCGATTAAATATTTAATACACCCAAAATAATTAATTCAATACGAGCAGGTAGTAAATTCTAAGTATAAACATAATTTTAAATAAATCCTTATGACTATTTCCGAATGCTTCCGAATAGTTACATTTGAGCATTCAAATTACATTACTATTTTCCGTAACTGTACATATGTACATTATGTATATTAAGGTATCCTATAAAAATATGTTAGTTTATTATATTTTAAACACAAAACCACTCAATTAAATATTTTTTAGGGATCGCTTACGAATTTTGAAAATTTCAAAAATAGTCAAAATTTATTTTTGTGTTGCTCCCTTTGGTAAATTTTTGTACAAAAGTATTAATTAATATTACTTTTATTCATTATTAATGATAATAATAATTTATTATATCAAATTAGCTCATATAATTACTTATAACATTTTATATATTTATTTAAAGGTCCTTTCATATTTTAATCCAAAAGCTAAAACTTTGTTATACCTATTCATTGTCCGTGTACACAAATGTACCGCAGCAAGCAAAAATTTTGAAATTTGACTAATTTTGGAATTTTTAAAATATGTGAGCTGATAAACTAACATATTTTTAAAGGAGCCTAAAAAATCATTTTTTTTTGGGCCACCCTAATATCCCTACGTAAGATTCTATTATTTTATAAATAATTAAAGGTAAAGGTAAATTGACTAAAATTGCAGTAATGGCTATACGAATAAATCAACCACAAATGTTTAAAATTAACATATCAACATACAGAATTCTGCAAATTTTCATGGACACTTTTTAGGGTATTACTAACACGTTAGTGTGCAATTTGTTCTGAAAGAGTTAATGTATCAACTTTTATGCTTATACATTTTTTTCTGGTGGGTCACTGTGTACCATGAAACTTGAACAGTGAACCAGGTGATAATTACACAGTGGACCAGGAAATAAATAAAAGTCGCATGTAGAAAAATATTTTAATGGGTATACCTAATAGGTATTACCTATGGATATATCTACAAGAACAAACATGTGCGTTTTCAAGAAAACAAGTATATGATTAAAATACTTAGAAAACACACAAGTACAAAACTTAAGCGGGAAACAAACCTTATTTTTAAAATTTTTAAATAAAATGTAAACTAACGAATATCAAGGGAAGACATCAACATCAAAAGTAAAATAGGAATGCTGCCTGAAAGTGGGTGAACCAGTGGGTGAACCACTGATTCAACGTGTACTGTTTCACTGTTAAAATTCCTACGACGCGTCGTCTCTAATAAAAAACCCAAAAAAAAAAATCGAGATAATTGAACGGTGGTTCACTTTTGGACAGTTTACCCTATGTGTGTATTTCCATATAAGAACGACATATTTGAATAAAAATGCATTTTAGAATATTAATATTAAAAATCAAGTTTTGTACACTAAAAATAGTCTTTAGTAATGGTAAGTTAAGATATAACATTTAGAAATATCTTTATATATATTTTTTACGAATATATGCAGTTATTGCATTTAATCATGCCAGTCAACACACTGTATAAAAGCTGTGAATATTTTTAAATTCAATAAAGTGAATATTTATAAATTCAACAAAGCATCATAGTAAGATTTTTATAAAATATATAGACATAATGTTAATATAAACTACACTGTTGTAGTGTAGTTTATATTAACATTATATCAACATGGAGTTTCATCAAGTAAAAGTCGAAACAATTAATTAAATATATAGACTTGTTTAGGTATTTACAATCGCTTTTTGTAGCCGCACACCACTCTCTGAAGCACATCTTAAGGTATACATACTACTTATTTCGGGCTTATTCATAGACATTAATTTTGAAGTATGTAACCGAATCAGGAAACGACCAAAGGAACATTTGTTTTACAATAGCCATTTAATTAAGGGATGTGTAGGCTGTGTCACCATCTTCTTAAAACAAACATACCCAACATATTTTGCTTGTACCTTAAAATCGAAATGTTAATTTTGTATGTTCAGTTTACCATTAAATAAATTGTATAAAACAAAAACTATTGATTTTTAGTAGCTTTGGTGCGTATAATAGAATCAATTAGGTATAAACGTGACGTTCGTGGTTAAGGGTAATGTATACCATTATTGGTTCAAGGATTATCAAATTAGTTATAATAGTGCGTGTCGG